AAAGACCTTGTTGTTTTATCAGGTAAAATTGATATTTTACCGTGAAACAACTACATGTGGAAGAATTACATTAATTCAACAAATCCAAAATTTATATTCTTTTATTTTCTCCTTGTTTATTCGTAGGAGGACACACTATTGGAATGTCACATTGTTTTTCCTTCTCAAGCCGTTTGTACAATTTCACTGGCAAAGGTGACATGGACCCGAACATGGATCAGAACTACATAGGTCGTTTGAAGATCAAATGTAAGTCAGGAGATGTGACCACCATTGTCGAAATGGACCCCGGAAGTTTCAAGAATTTTGACACAGATTATTACACTATGGTTAGCAAAAGAAGAGGGTTATTCGCATCTGATGCAGCTCTTCTCACTGATAGTGAAACAAAAGCTTATGTTTTGTCTCAAGTAAATCCCTATGGATCCACTTTCTTCAAAGATTTTGGAGAATCAATGATAAAAATGGGCAAAATTGGAGTTCTTACTGGTAAAGCAGGTGAAATCAGAAAGCATTGTGCCTTCCGAAACTAAGAGAAACTTTGATAAGCTATTTCCCTTGCCAAATTTTAATCCTTTTTGTATTGTTATGTTTAATTATGGGATCTCTGTTATGGATATTCTTTTCTTTTCTGATTAGTTTGTGGAACGTAATTTTATGGTGGTAAACCTTTATTGTATTGTAAGTTTGTAATTCAGTTCGTTAAGCATGTACGTAACTAATAAAATTGTTTGTTTTGCTTTTACAAGCATGTATGATTCATAGAATTTTCTTTTTGTATTACTTTTTACAAATATGAGCGGATAAGCTTTATTATTCATAAGATTCCGAAAGGTTGAACTAATGACCAAAACATCTATATTCTCTCACTCAATTTTATGGCATACCATTATGTCTTGTAGTATTTTTAATTTGAGGGTTTTTCTCAAAAGAAATATAGTACGTACTTAATAATCTATGGCAACTAGGAGAGTTTTTTTACTATCAATAACAACATATATATATAACAACAAGAAACTTAAATATTCTATATCAAATTTTGTGTATCTTTGCTTGAATTTCGTCTTTGGTTTCACCCCTAATTTGTCTTAATAACACACAAAAATTACAGTCTTAGTTAAAATATCGAAACAAGTTCAACTAAAAGAGGACTATAAGATACTACCCTTCCACCTATTTTAATCAAGGCCCCGTTTGTCCATAAATTTTTTTTATTTTTAAAATGTGTTTCTCAAAATCAAAATTTTTAGAAAAAACTTTTTTCTCCGCTTACAAAACTGTAACATTTTTTCAAGTGAAATGCATATCCAAACATAATTTCAAATTTCAAATACAAATTTTTAACTTAATTTCAAATATTATTTTTTTCAAAAATTATAATTTTTATGTCCAAGTGCCTACTAAATTAACTAGAAATAGAAAAGTCACATCTATGTTTTAGCTAGGAACTCCACATAACAAAATGCTTGTTAGTGGTACTTTATGTTCAAGGTAGTATGAGGTGTCCTTTGAGAGTATTGTTCCAAACCTCAAATTGAATTCTCGTACACATTGATCATATTGAAGGAACAATTCAACCAATTCTATGTGATGACTCAAATGTCATCTTTAAATTTAATAATTAATTATATATTTTAATATCTCGAAAAGTACTATTTATTATTTCTCGACTTGCATGCACAGTTCGTAAAATTTTTCGGAAAGTTTTTATGTGAAAAATGAATTAAAATATGAATTAGAGCTTTAAAACTCAACTGAGTTGACTTTGGTCAGCATTTTGAGCAAACAGACTCGGATCAGTATTTTGACAGTTCTGGTAGGTTCGTATCATGATTTTGGACTTAGGAGCGTGATCGGAATTTTATTTGGAAGTCCATAGTGAAATTAGGCTTGAAATGACTAAAATAGGAATTTAAGTTTGGAAGTTTAACCGGGGAGTTGACTTTTTGATATCGGTATCGGAATCCAGTTCTGAAAATTTTCACAGCTCCATTATGTCATTTATGACTTGTGTGCAAAATTTGAGGTCAATCGGATATGATTTGATAGGTTTCGACATCGAATGTAGAAGTTGAAAATTCTAAGTTTTATTAAGCTTGAATTGGAGCACGATTCGTGATTTTAGCGTTGTTTGATGTGATTTGAGGTTTCAAATAAATTTGTATGATATTTTAGGACTTGTTGGTGTATTTGGTTGAGGTCCCGAGGGCCTCGGGTGAGTTTCGGATGGTTCACGGATCAAAAGTGAGACTTAGCTGCTGCAATTTTTCTGCTAGAAATGCCTGTCTAAATCGAGCTCCCTGACAAATCGAGCTCCCTGACAAAATCGAGCTCCCTGACAAATCGAGCTCCCTGACAAAATCGAGCTTCGTGACAAAATCGGGCTCCCTGACAAATCGGGCTCCCTGACAAATCGATCTCCCTGACAAATCGAGCTCCCTGATAAATCGAGCTTCGTGACAAATCGGACTCCCTAAAAAATCGGGCACCCTGACAAATCTGTAAGTTATAAAAAACAGGAGACTTCATCCCATTTTTCATTTTTGACGAATTGGAGCTTGAAGAGAGGCGAATTTGATATATTTTCAAAGAAAAATATTGGGGTAAGTGATTCTAACTCGGATTTGGTTAATATACACGAATATATCATTGTTTTCACCATTTAATTAGGGTTTTGAGATAAAAATTTGGAAAAATTTTAGAAATCTCATAAAAATGAATTTTTGAGATTTCGGTATCGATCCGAAGTCGGATTTGAGTGAAACTGGTATGGTTGGACTCGTAATTGAATGGTTGTCATATTTTGTGAGTTTCGTCAGATTCTGAAACGTGAGCTCCACGGGCGATTTTGAGCTAATTTCGGATTTTATTGAAAAATATAGTATTTTCTTATGAAATTGATTTCTATAATTTTTGTTGACTGTATCGAATTAATTATGACTAGATATGAGTCGATCGGAGTCGGCAAAATCGAGGAAAAAGCATAATACTTAGTTAAATTAGAGCAAGTCGAGGTAAGTGCCTTGTCTAACCTTGTGGGGAGGAAATTTTCCCTAGGATTGATAATTGTAATGTATGGAAAGTCGTGTATACGAGGTGACGAGTATGTACATGGGATAAATGTGAAAGATTATGTTTTAAATTGTGTAGATCACTGTTGCGCATTAATTAAATTATTTCATTTTGTTATATTCTTCATTATTGATTTAATGTTTATATTTTTAATTTGATAGACCTTTTTCCTCCTAATTGTTTTATATGTTTAGTTGGAACTTGATTTCTTTTATTCTGCGCATTATTTGAAAGTTGATTTTCTTTAAATTAAATATTATTAATATGAAGTATTTGAAATTTTTAAACTTGATATTGAAGCAACGTATTAAAGACTTTTAAATATTATTTTTCTGAATTATTTACTCTTGAATATTTTTGTAAGATTTTCGTACTCATTGTGATAGAGCAGTGAGCTCTTTATTGTGGAAAAATATTATTGTTAAATTATTTTGACATGAGTTGTGAGCTCTTTATTGTAGAAAAATATTATTGTTGAATTATTTTGACATGAGCCGTGAGCTCTTTATTGTGAAAAAAATATTATTGTTAAATAATTTTGACATGAGCCGTGAGCTCTTTATTGTGAAAAAATATTGTTGTTGAATTATTTTGGCAAGTTAAATTATTTGAGCACCTGAGGTGCAAATTGTGATAAATTGTGATATTGATACGCATGCGATGGTATAAGGTCTGGGTATTGAAACACATGCTGTGAGATAAGGGTGGCTTGATACGCGTGGCTAGTAGGGGGAATTACTAGAAGTCATGCGGTGTGATAAGGATGGCTAAAACGCGGGATGTTATTTCGGAAAAAATATTTTCTTTAAAATAAATTGTGAAGGCTCTAGCGGTGAGATAAGAAAATGAGATATTGTGAATTTATTTCTGATTTGGGACTACGAGGCGGTACCTCGGGAGTGCCTTTGTTGATATTGATTTATGGCCGCAGTTGCCTTTGATTATTGCTGTGATTTTCTTAAAGTTGAAAAGAATTCTGTTTTGTTTCCACAAGGTATTTATTTGCCATTATTTGGTGTAACTAAATGTGACATACTACTTGATTCATTTCTATTATCATTTTTTCTTATAATATTATCTAAACATTTTACCATGCCATTATTTATTCTCCAATAAGGCCTGACCTGACCTCGTCACTACTCTACCGAGGTTAGGCTTGGTACTTACTGGGTACCGCTGTGGTGTACTCATACTATGCTTCTGCATATTTTTTTGTACAGATCCAGGTATATCTTATCAGACCAGGTATCAGTAAACTAGCTGTACGAGGAGACTTCGAGATATATCTGCCAGCGTCCGCAGACTCCGGAGTCCCCTTCTATCTTACTATATTGTCTTCCTTATTTGCTTTAGACTCTGATGTATAGAGACATAGAGAATAAATTCTTAGAAACTTGTGACTTATTTCTACCGGGTTTGGGGAGTTGAAATTGTTTGAATTATAGTTTATTTATTTCAGATATTTATTATTATTCCGCATTGATATCTTACCTAGTCTTAGAGATTAGGTGCCATCACGATATTCTACGGAGGAAATTTGGGATCGTGACATTCTAAGACCAATGCCCAGCGAAGGGGTGTCAAATAGGCAGATTAAACTAAATTTCGGAGGGTCAAAATGGTTGAATCAATAAATGAACTGATCAATAGAGGGCTGAGATAGATAGGTCAAGATAAAGTAAAAAATGAGCCATAAACCAATCTATTGGAACAAAATTATCTTAAGTTAAGATCATCATCTTTTCCATGATCTATCACGTGAAGTCAATAAATAAAAAATAAACTAAAAGCAGAAGCCTAGCTGAATCCATTGACTACCGTGGAGATTGTTGGGTCTTTCAATTATCTATTTTCCATACCAAGACATAAGCAATCTTTCTTTCTAACAATATGATATCAGAAAATAAATCTTCTGATTTAAAGACCGTAAACTTGTTTATGATTGCACATATAATTTCTTTAATTCTATTATAATCTATCGTTTAATTAGAAATTATATCAGAATATCTACACATAAATATTCATATTTTATGAGGAGTCTTTGGCCCATTTAATCATAAAATTTGGCATTGGATTTGGCTTAATCTGATTCTCCCTTAAAACTAACGGCCCTCATGAAATTAAATAATTTGATATTTATTTATTAGGAAAGTTTACCTAGCTATACTATAATAAAAATTTATTTACAATTTTTGCTTAGGTTCATACTTAATTACATTCTATATCTATATTTACCATTTATGTACAAAATCATAAAATAAAAAAAATAAAAAAAGAAGATTCATTAAATTTAGCATGTCATTCTCTTTCCTTCACCAACCCCTTCTAAAAATTCGAATTTTATCTATTTTCCAAAAGATTTGACATCCCATTCTCTCTCCCTCATACTTATCATTCAAAATCGGTACTTCTCTCGCAATGTCAACGAAAATGGCCAAACTTTTATCTATAAAATTGCAGCAGCAAAGGATTCTCCATCGACATTCATTAAAAAGTTTCGAAACTTTGAATTCATTGTTAGAAATTTACGAATTTATGATTTGTT